CACCACCAGTTCTCTGGCTCCCCAGCGCTCTTTGTTCAATGCTAGTGTTAACAAAAGCCTCTTGACCAAAAAAAGTGCTGAGGTTACACAAATATTTGGCAAAGAATTGTCTCTGCTGATGGATTGAAGATGCTGAGAAAGCCGCCGATTTACAGCTTTGCCGGATTTCCTTTTCTTAAAGATATGTGCAACAAAATTGCTTGTCAATTTGACATCTGCAAACACATTCTCCGTGGCAGAGTTTAACAGCATGTCAGAGACAATTACGACATGTGGCCCATCAGAGGACTTCTCTGGATGCCCTGGGCTTCTGTGATGCCAGCATCAGCTGCTGCTGATGACACCAACTGTGGGCAGTGAATAAATTCAGGGCACGTTAATCCTTCATGAGTCCTAATTCATCCCTACTGAGCACCTCAACTGGTGCAAAGTCCATAAGGGCACTGAATGATAACCTGGTGACCCTGCATTGTTGAGGTTTGCTACTGTCCCAAGATGATCTTTGTGATGGCTAGAGTCCTAATTGCTGCTGAACGGACGACGGTTGCTTTTACGTGTAAGCCACCCGAATTTTTATGGCAACAGGGATCCACGTGCTAATGAACACCGGTCATCATTTTAACGATATTTTTCCTTTGCCCTTGCAATGCGGATTTTATTTTCAGTTGTGGTTTATGCTCTTCAGTCCTCTACAGAAAAAGGCAGGAGAACACGAGCGGCAACAACCAAGTAAGTCCTCTGTCAGAGAGGCCAGAACTCTTTTAGGTTGGAAGTTATCATTACAATACCGATAAGGACCTCGGCCTGGTTAAAGCATTCATCCGATGAGTCATTGCTGCTGGAGCCGCGGCAAAGACATTGAGGATCATTGCAAAGGATGCCCGAGCTCTTTGCTGTGGGATTGATGGGGCAATAACTTGACTCAAAAATTTCTAATGTTGCAACCCAGCCATAGAGTAGGTCGTGCTTTTTGAATTGAAGTGGAAGTCAACGAATCCAGCAACCCCTCTGTCAAGGATTCATGGAGGCATTTTGCTTCACACTTGGACAAACCACAGTAGCATCCTGGCCACTGATCTCCTGTCTGGAGTCTCTCACCACTTCATTCTATTCTATGTACACCTTCGTCTTCACCCCAGAAATAGCTCCATTTCGGCGCTCCTCCCCATACCCTCAAAGCCGTCATCAAATCCCTTTGCCCGGGTGGAATTTGACACCTTCCATGCTGACCTGTCCCTGCTCTACTGTCTCAACCCCTGTTGCTTGAAAACTAGTCAATGCACCATCCCCCATGTTTCTCATATCCAGCTAGCCTCTTGCTTGGCATGGTTTCTCTGCCCTGCAGAATCCCACCCAAACTTCAAGACTCTGCTCTGCCCTCATTTCTTCAGTCAAGTCTTTCTAGCCACCCTCATCTTTCTCTGGTATCACTCATTCATTCCCAGTATGTCTTTGAGCACCCATCACATGGATATGGAGATTCTTATCGGATAGTCCTTGCCACTTGTTTGGTACATATCACTTCTCTGGTGAATTGTTAGAATCTTTGCAAGCGATGTACCTGCCTTGTTGCCCCTTCCTCTGCCCCCAGGTGCATCTTTTTGGTCTTCTCCTTTGCAGGCTAAACAGAGAAGAGTCTATAGGCACGAGGCTGCTCTGCCAGAGTCCTTGGCATCTTAGGACAGCCGGAAGTTCTCTTGTGGAGTTAATGCCTTGGTCAAGCATCATAGCCTCCTGGCCTTGTTCACTCAGCAACACATCTTTCCATCCAGACTCTCATAGCAGTAAATCCTTAGCTCTGGGAGTCACAAACTCAAATCCAAAGGCTAGTCTTAGGGTTACAGAAGTCTCTGGAGCATCCTCTCTCTCTTTGCCCTCAAGTCAGAGGTCTCCTAACATCAAACCTCAGTTTTAATTTCCTGATTTCCTGAGAACATGTGTAGATTAATATCAAAAGTCCTCTAAATTAAAATACAATTTCTGCAAGTAAAACTGCCAACTTTACACCAGTGCCAAGAGCCTCACACCACAGCTGCCTGGGCATCCCTGGCTTCCACGTTGAGATCTCTCTGGCGTCAGGATCCGAGGAGCATTCTGGTGAGATCTGTGGAGGTCCTGAAAGGAGTCGTGGCCAATCTAAGAAAAATAGGCACATCTGGGAATTTTTAGACAACACAGCGTGTGATCATCGGTACCCTCGATGAACGGGAGCACATGAAAACCAGCATGCTGTAGTACACTGTAGGATGTTAGAACAAACCCCGTAGGGCGCTGCCAAGTTCTTGACGTGCCCAGATGGTTGTCCCAACTCGCCTGCAAGGGGAACAAAAATGAGAAATGCATAGCTTCACAGAAGCTTCTAGACCTTCGAACTGTCAGACCCCACCCCACCCCATAGCTGGTGGGCAAACTCTCCTTACTACAGGGTCCTTCCACTCATGAAATTCTGGATGCCTCTGGCTCCAACACTAGTGCCGTCCTACCCTCAGCAAGTGATGCTGGGACCCACGGAAGAAGAGAGAAGCCGGTGGGGAGGAGACGTAAGTGGCACCATGTTTTAGTAATGTCAAGCACAGTGTTGGGAGCGAGGATCCACTTACGGGAAAGGCTGGCGAGTCGTTTGCATTCGCCTTTCTTCTTTCCACCGGGAAAGCAGGCAAAGCATCTCATTACCGTGAGGCACGCACAGACTCACAGACTCGTGTCAATCTTCTCGGAGCCGAATGCCTTCCAGCATCACAGTGTGTTCGTAGCTGTCAGGTGCTGTGCCTCACTCTGAAACCTTCTCCCGGGTTACTTACTCACACTGGCTCTGAAACATGCTGACATTCTGCCTAAAATAGAACCCACCATCCTGCCACCCAAACGAATCCAGTTTCTATAGGCTTTCAACTCAGCCCATCCATGGAGTGGGCTTCTCAGGCCTAAGACATGGGGAGGCCAGAGAGGACTGGTCAGTGTAGACGCGGGACAAGGAGCCGGCTCCCAGGCCTCTCCACACTGCCCGTGGGGTCAGAGGAACAGCCTTTGAATCCCGAGCTGCTTCATGCAAGACCACTCATCATCAATCAAGTACTTATATGCTCTGATCTATTGATGTGGACTCCTCTTGACCTTGCTGGCCCTGCTGAGGCTGTGGGACGGATCCTGTGGGCTTGCTCAGTGAGACCGCAGAGCTCCGGACTCCCTGAGGGCCTGCTGACCACTCTCGAAGCAATTACTTGAACTCCATGGGCATCCCCCCGACAACTGCCACCCGTTCTGAGCGTTCACACAGCTCCTCCATTAGTGCCATCCCACAGGGACTTTTGTGGTGGAAGTGATGGTCAGGTGGGCAAGGGGGCACCCTCTCCATCCTGATCTCTGTCCCTGAATGGTGTGGGCTTGAGATTGTTCTGCGGTCCTGGTTGCATCTGAGATCTTGGTGATAACTGAGTCTAGAAACCATTCGTTCAAAAGATGGGTTGAGAACCTCTGTTCAGAGCCCTGTTTGGAGTACTGTGGGGGGCAGAAGACAGAATCATCTGTAAACTCAGACCACAAGCAGCTTATTGTTGGGAGGTAAATTGCAGAGATGCAGTGTCCTCTCTCAATGTCCTCCATGTGGTGGGAACTAGATCACAGAATGGAAGAGCAACCACCTGGGGCTCAGCAGACTCGGACTCCAGCTCTATCACTTACCAACGCCCCCATCAAGTGACAGCTGAGGCTCCATTGTCTTATCCACCTCTAGGGAGTGGACTAATGCCCAATTCATGGTGGATGTAAGAATGTGGGATGAAATGAAACCATATACATAAAAGCACTCTCCAAGAGTATTATTACTATGTCTTGGTGGCCCCTAGGCCACGTTACCACAGTTCACATCTGGGAGGGGACCCTGGAAGGTGACTCAAAGAGCAGAACTGCTTGCCTATCCTGTGCTGTATGGAGGGGAAAGCATCTAACTGTCAGCTCTGTGACTCCCCCAGAAGAATCCAAAACTTTGGAAAACATAGATCATATTTTCATTTGTACTGATTAAATTGGCCTCTAGCAACATATGAATATGATCTGTGTCTCCAGGTCTCATAGACACCCTAAACATTTACTACCCTGCCCATGCTCCCTTCCTTCTTAGCACAGTGACTGGGGCCAGCCAGGTCCCTCCTGCAATACTCCACATGATCCTTTCCCTGAAGCCAGAAGCTACTAGATGCAAACAGAAACCTTCTCTGCCACCTGCCACCGAAACCATGAACTTCTAACCCCTAAGACCCAGTTTCAAACATGCTGTTCATAATGCACATTTTCAAAATTTTCATCCTCAGTTGTCATTCCAATTCTATTTTAAGAGTTTCAAATACTTGTTTGTGATCATAATTCTTGAAAGCCTTCAGAAGGCTGAGGCTCCTTGACTGAGCTTGTAGGTGACACCGCTAGGAATGGAATCTTGTCTCCCTGATGTCAGAATCTGAGTTCTCAGCCACCACAAGCATCAGGGTGCTGAGGCCCACTCCTGCTGGGGTGCCAGGGACCCTGAGAGAGGAGCAGGATGCCGGTGAAAGGAAGCAAGATGGAGAGAGCAGAGGAGAATGGGGAAGGGGAAAGGATGTGAGGGAGCACGCTGGGTCTGAGACCCTCCTCTGGGAAAGGGATATGGCTCCCCAGCTAGATGAGGGCTTGGGTGCCATGAGAGCTCCATCTTCTACCTGGTTCTGAGACAACAAAGCAGATGCCTCTACTGCCCCAGCAGAAATCCCAGGCTTATCCGAAGCTTGACTTTACTTTCAAGTAAGATGCTTTCCCTGCCTTTCCATGCACTCCGTTCATGCGTGCTTATTCTCCTGCAGATGCTCAGGCCCTGCTACTGCCTTCCACACCCACCACTCCTGATCTGGTCAGTCTCTTGGTCAGCATTCAGGAGCCTCCTGCACAGAGCAGGGCATGAGTGGTCTTCAGTTGCATGTGTATATCCAGAGCAGAGCCCAGCACCTCACCTTTGGGCCTGTCTCTTGCAGATCATTGGGACTATTCCTCTGATGCCGAATCCGGGGCCATCAAGCCAAGCAGCGAGCGGCACTCAGGGCCTCCAAGTACAGCCCATCACCCCCAGCTCCTGACCAACGCCCAGGGCCAGATCATTGCCACAGTCATCGGAAACCAGATCCTGCCAGTGATCAACACCCAGGGCATCACGCTTTCACCCATCAAGCCCGGCCAGCAGGTAACAGCTCCACGTCCAGGCAGTCATGGCTACCTGGACCTCTCTCCTTACCGCTCATCTCCTGTTTGGTCTCAATCAATGGAGAGTACTTTTTAAATCACAGACTATTTAATCCTTGATCTGAACACATCACTCATTTTAAAAGGCAAGTAGTTCTTTTTTCATTCCTAGAGAACATGGGTAACAGCTAGTGCTCTAATCCAAAAATAGGAATATTTAAGTAATAAGCAGATAGTGCCTAAAATCCAATAGGGATGCACATCCTTTCTTTGTCACTTATGATACTTAATTTTCAGACCATTTATTTTTTAATACAAAAATTTTATCTTTTAAATGACATTTAATTACTTTATTTTTATTTATTTTTTTATTGGAGTTCAATTTGCCAACATATAGCATAACACCCAGTGCTCATCCCTCCAAGTGCCCTCCTCAGTGCCCATCACCCAGTCACCCCAACCCCCCGTCCACTTCCCCTTCCACTACCCCTTGTTCATTTCCCAGAGCTAGGTGTCTCTCATGTTTTGTCACCCTCGCTGATATTTTCACTCATTTTCTCTCCTTTCCCTTTATTCCCTTTCACTATTATTTATATTTCCCAAATGAATGAGACCTATAATGTTTGTCCTTCTCCAATTGACTTACTTCACTCAGCATAATACCTTCCAGGGCCCTCCACGTCGAAGCAAACGGTGGGTATTTGTCGTTTCTAATGGCTGAGGAATATTCCATTGTATACATAAACCACATCTTCTTTATCCATTCGTCTGTCGATGGACACTGGGGCTCCTTCCACAGTTTGGCTATTGTGGACATGGCTGCTATAAACATCAGGGTGCAGGTGTCCCGGCGTTTCACTGCATCTGTATCTTTGGGGTAAATCCCCTAACAGTGCAATTGCTGGGTCATAGGGCAGGTCTATTTTTAACTCTTTGAGGAACCTCCACACAGTTTTCCAGAGTGGCTGCACCAGTTCACATTCCCACCAACAGTGCAAGAGGTTTCCCCTTTCTCCACATCCTTTCCAACATTTGTTGTTTCCTGTCTTGTTAATTTTCCCCATTCTCACTGGTGTGAGGTGCAATCTCATTGTGGTTTTGATTTGTATTTCCCTGATGGCCAGTGATGCGGAGCATTTTCTCATGTGCTTGTTAGCCATGTCTATGTCTTCCTCTGTGATCAGACCATTTAAAAAGGGGTCAAGAAGAAACCAAGACTGCTTATGCTTTAACTGTAAATGAAAAAAAAAAGTTCCTTTGCACAATAAAGCAGGGAATGTCCCATAACAGAGCAGGTACATAGCAAAGTTTAGTATCATCACAGAGGTGGGAGTGACCAACTTTGTCTGAAGAGTGTTGAGTTCTCACAGAGAAAATGGTTCAGAAGCTGAGTCTTGATGGGGAAGATGGAGTCATGATGGGATCACCCAGATGCCAGGCCATGGGGATGGCAGGCACCAAGGCAGGGAAATATGAAGGATGGAGTGTCATGAAACAGAAGAAAGGGTCATGTGACTGGAGCACAGGGGAGGGTGAGGACAGTCGTGGAAGGGCTCCGTGATCAAGCTGGGAAGGATGGGCTTTGTCTCTGTGTGATCTTGACCACATCTTTGTGCCCCCATTCCTTGTCTGTAAAATGGGAAGAATCAGCACCAATCTCCCAGACTGGTTGTGAGGATAAAATGAATCAAGATATATTGAGTAGTTAGTGCCTGGCTACACAGCAAGCACTTACATAGTCGTGATGATGGTGATGACCATCTACTCTGCAGCCCTGGGAATCTATAAAAGGTATTTAAAGAGAGGAATGACACATTCAGCTTGATTTTTCAAGAAACAACTCTAACTTGGGGAGCAGATGGAGGCTGAGCTGAAGTGGTGAAACATCTTTTGTAAACAAACCATTTAGGAGACTAGAGCAAAACACGAAAAGCAATTTATGAAAGCCTGTGCTGGATAGCTGGAATGGAGGATCTGGAATTGTAGAAGCACTCAGGATAGGATCTGAGAGTCACGAGTGTGTGTTTGTAGCTGCAAACAAATCCAGCAGCTAGAAAAATCAGGAGGAGCAAGAGAAGGAAGGAAGACAAAGGAGTCACTTTGGGAAACATCAGCTTTTAAGGAATAGAAGAGGAAGGGAGAGATGGAAGATGCATCTGAATAAGTAGGAGAGAAATCCAGAGGCTAACGATCTAGCATCCAAAAGTTTTTTTAAAGTAGGAAGTGGATAGAGTGTCAAAGGCTGCAGAGATGAGACTAGGTGAAGCAATGGAGAAACATCAATTCCTCTCTTTCTTTGTTGTAATGCTTTAAAGTCTGGATCTGCTCTGTTTGAAACGTTTGAAACCAGTAGCTGGAGGAGTTAAGAAGCAAAAGTTGGACGAGGCTAAGACCCAGATTTGCAGTTGGAAGGGGCAGTAACAAAAGAAAGGTATCGAGAGGGGAAAACAAAAACTGACAGTGAGTGCGTGACTGAGTAGATGGCCTCATGAGTTGTTGGAAGTCTGTACAATGTAAAGCACCCAGCAAGGAAATAGAATACAAAGAAAAAAGGAGGAAGAAAGCACTGCTAAATTCTTCATCATCCATCTGCACCAAAGTAGAAGTATCTTTCCAGAGATCTCAGCCATTTGGCTTCTGATCCAGCCATGCATACAGCCCATTCTTAGTGGCACTCAAGGGCTGTGCTTGGAAAATCCAGTTGCTTGTTCAATAAATATTTTTTAAAATCAGTTTACTATATATATTTATTGAGCATCTGCTATATGTCAGGCACTGTACCTAGAAGCTACACTGGAGGACAGGACTGATATCAGGAGCCCTTCCTTCAGGGAGTTCACAGTCCCGTGAGGAAGATGGACATTCATCAAAGACTTGCACAAATATGTACCTAAGGTACAGTAAGTGCCATGAGGGTGTAGCAAGGGGATCTGTGAGTGGGTATAGCAAGGATCTTCTCCTTCTCCTTCCCCATCTCCTCCATTGAGGGTCGAACATTAGGAAAAACCAAGTCAGGTGTGAACACGCTTCCCAGAGACGGAGACTCTGGTCTGATGCCCTGTGGTTCTCCCCGCCGAATCTAATCACTGCCTGGGGATCCCAGGTTCCCAGCCCCTACTCTTCTTCCTCAGCTTAATCATAGGCAGGGTTGCAGTCCCTGCCAAATGTATCACTGAGGACTTCCTTCCCCTCTCCCCACCCCGATCTCTCCGCTAGCTTATTTCTTTTACTATGTACAAGATGCCATTGGGCTCTCTACCTTCTAAACGGTTCCCTAAATAAGGCAAGAGCCTCTACCTTTATTGGCTTTTTAAGACCTATTTCTATCTGTTCAACCTTATGCTAAAATTATCTCTAGGGGGAAAAAATGAGATCAGCCTCTTTTCATACAGTCTGCTGAAAACTATTTCTGTCAGCAAAGCCACGTTGTAAATTGCCACAAAGGTGATGAATCAATTAGAAATCATCAACATTTAATACAAAGTAGCTCTCATTCTCATCCTGGATTTCAGAGGAGGTGCATTTAGGTGATAGACAATTTCAGTTACATAAAATTACAACTCTAGATTTGAGGTAGTACGGTTTTAATCCAGGAGAAGGACCTAATCAAGAAATGGCAAATAAGAGACAGATACGGGGCCATTCCTCAACAACTTGCCCGAAGTAGGCATCATTGATCCATTTCCGCAGTCCCTCTCCTGAGCCCAGATGCACCTCAGAAACATTCTCACACCGCACCTGTTGGTCCTTGGAACAAACTTCATTTTCACTGTGGGAACATTTGGTCCTGTGCTGGTCCAACCGCCATGACTGGCTTCTTCACTATAGAATTGGAGACCTAGCAACTGAGAAGAAACAGCCAGGCCCTTGGGGGTGTGCCTTGTGAATACACTTTGTGGCAGTTATGACCAACATCCCAGGGAGCATGATGGTCCTGGGCGACGTATGCACAGGCACCTCTCCCATGCGTGTCTGCTGAGAGAACACACAAGCACAGCCAGAGAAGAGTGGCATGCGAACCTTCCTGAAAATCGACATCACAGCAGGCACCCCTGGGCCTGGCCCTCTTGTTCCAGGCATGTGCCAGTGGTCTATTCTATTCCCAGAAAGATCAAGGGGAATGAATGGAGAACTTGGTCAGAGACATCAGGAAATGGTAGCAATAAATGGACAACTATTTCTTGGCATCCACTCTGAAACACCTTGAAACACCCAGGAGCATATAGTAAGGTTAACAAGTTGGGTGAATTGACAGGAGATGCTCAAGTCTGAGTCCTGCATATAAAAGCTGGGATCCTGAGGATAGCAGATCATAAAATGCCCAAGAGTCCAAAAGTACAAAGCTCAGAGCTGGAAATATAACGATAGTGGTCTTCAATTTTTTTCTTTAAATATTACCCTTTCCATTGAAGAAATATAATACAGACAACCACTAAAAAATAAAGGATTTCTATCATACAGTAGAGAAGTTTCTCAATTTATTTTTTCATATGATTTATGACAAATGCCTGATCTCACAAGAGCGTAGTTCCAACAGTAAAATATGTCATAAATTATAGGAGCAGAAAGTTCCCTAACTCACACTCAAAAAAGAGTTCACTTTCATGGAGTGAAGTACAGAGCCCTCAGACCAGACAACCTGGGGTAATTTGCTTTAATTTAATAAAAATAATTATATCTTTAATTTCAGTTTTATATCTGCTTACCAGGAATTAAAGGAACCTGAATAAAATCTTAGAGTGGACCTTCAACTACTCTTGATGTGATGATTTATTCCAATGATAAAAGATTGAGAACCTGCAAAATTATCATCTAGAATACAAGCAATATGGTTTTTAAATACATACCAAAATTTGATAGACCTAGATATAGCCTTCACAGCATCACATCAGAGATTCTTGGTGAGCAATGCAAGAGAATAAAAGTTATAAAAAGAGTAGATAAAAAAAGAGACAGAGAAAGATATAAGTATCTTTCTGTGCATGAAAAAAAAAGCTACTT